TATCGCTATAGCTAAAATGCCACTAATATATTAGGGCATACGTGTTGACACGTTGAATTATAGCTCACACAGCGAAACAATGCAGGGTTGGAAACGTTAAAACCTAATGCAGTTAACAATTTCAATTGGACTGGGAATAGCACGCCTACCAAAGTCTTTATGAATATCACACCGTGCTTCTCCAAGAAATTGATATGTGCATATCAGTAGTATTCGATATATACTACTCAGATGTTGCTAAGGATCACCACTTCATAGGTAACACGTTAAATTGTTTCCCGTGAAGAGCTCGGGTAGAATAGGTCTTAAGCCGTAAAATGCGACTATGCTTGTCGTAAGAGGCGACTAACGGGGTCGGGTGGTCAGGCTCGACCTTTTCTTGTCAGGGTCTATTTAGAGCAGGTGACCATTGTCCGCATGGTGTGGTCAGCCCGGTCACAAGACCTCAACATTATCGAACACATATAGAACGAGCTGCAGATCGCCCTCTCATGACGTCCAGTACACCCGGCATCTCTACAGGACAATAAAGAGTGGAGCAATCCTCCCTCAACCAACTTGCGAGGACGATGCCAGGCTGTGATCGCATCACGTGGAGTGAGTGAGTGAGATGAGTTTAACGCCGCTTTTAACAGTATTCCAGTTATATCACGGCGTGTCAGCTTAATGTGGGAGGAAAGCCCGAAGCGATACAGGTCTCAGACGTTTACCACTTCGGTAAAACCCACGAACGAGCACGGGTATGGTGCTGACAAACCTAGAAACATAATCGGGGCGAACCGGGATTCGAACCCACAATCATAGGTTTCTGGCGTGCCCAAGGGACGCAACTCTGCACAGCGAATCGCGGCGCCTTAGACGACTGGGCCACCCGTGCCCCCGCATCACGTGGATCACATACGTGCAACTGAGAGTTGTTTTTTGGACAATGAATTTGTTTTCTTGATTTTTTTAGGTCTCAGTTTTGGTCGGAAATACTCATTTTGACGGGTGATCGGACTGATTATTGGGAACATGTTGTTTGTTGGATTTGTGTGGCAAATGACAACGGCCTTTTGTTCATCAAACTTTTCAACAGATGCACACAATCTAACGTTGTTTGTTTGTTTTTTGTTTAACGCCGCACTCAGCACTATTCCAGCTATATGACGGCGGTCAGTATGGACCAGACAATCCAGTGACTGATATCATGAGCATCGATCCACGCAATTGGGATCGATGACATGCATCAACCAAGTCAGCGAGCCTGACCACCCGATCCCGTTAGTCGCCTCTTACGACAAGCATAGTCGGCTTATATGGCAAGCATGGGTTGCTGAAGACCTATTCTACTCCGGATCTTCACAGGTCAGCTTAACGGTAAATACTTGAAGCACGACAACATTTGCCAATGATTTCAGAAGCATCTTCAAGGGTATGGAAGATCACTGCTGAACAAAAAACGAATTACATAAGTTCTGACAATTTGATCAAAACCTTTTTATTTTCTCTTATTGCGC